GTGTGGTCAGTTATATTGCTCAATTTTTCAAAACCCATGGCAAGTTAAACTAAATCACTGAGAATTCAAAACATGAGAATTCGTCTCATTGGGTAGTCATAGGCTACACTACCCTTTTTTTTATTGCTACTTTCTTTTCTGTATATTGCAATGTTTTTGTGAAGTTTTGGTATTGAGGAATGATAGATTTACAAGGTTTGGAATTATTCTCTTTTCTCTTTTGGAAGAGTTTACATAAAAATTGGGTAATTTCTGGGGCTGCAGAGATGGCTCAGTGGTTTAAAAGCACTGGCTGCTCTTGCAGAGGACCCGGGTTCAATTCCCAGCACCCACATGGCAGCTCACAACCGTTTGTAACTCCAGTTCCAGAGGCTGTGACACCCTCTTCTGACCTCTGCAGACACTGCACGACATGAGTGTACTTACATACATGCAGGAACTACACTCATAACGCATAAAATAGAAATATTAAAATGTTCTTTAAAATAATAAAAATAGTATCTTTTAAAAATAGGGTAATTTCATCTTTCAAGATTGTAAAATAACTGATTCAATTTTTACTAATAGATGGGGACGCTCCAAATATTCTAAGTTTTAAATTATTTGTGTATGGCATGGTGTGTGTTTGTGTAGTGTATGTGTGTGGTGCATATGTGTGAGTGGGTGGGTGCAGGTGCCCGTGTACACAAATGCAGAGTTCAGAGCAGGACATCAGGTGTTTCTTCGATTTCTCTTTGCCTTACTGCTTTGAGACAGGGTTTCTCTCTGACTGAAGTTTGCTGTTTTACCTAGGCTGGCTGAGCATTGAGCTCCAGGATGTGCCTGTCTCCACCTCCCAATGCTGGGGTTATAGCCATGTGCAGCCACGCCTGGCTTTTTATGTGGATTCTGGGGATTCAAACTCAGGTCCTCATGCTTACAGAGCAAGTGCTTCTACCCACGGAGCCATCTCCCCAGCTCCTTATTTACTTTGCCTATTGTGTGTCCTTAATTTTGTTCTTCTTCAAAGCGATGCTGCTCTTATGGTTGTATTTTCTATGCTCGCTTCCCTAGGAATAGTTCATTTTTCAATTCCAGATTTTTTTTTCTTTTAAAAAAACAACGAATGAATTCTATCAGCTTATCCATTTTCTTAAGGTCTTCAAAGCTTAGCTTTATTGTTTGGAAGTTTGTGTTCAATTGCAGCAATTTTTGCTCTTGCCGTCTTTTCTTGTTTTTTTTTTTCATGCTGGCATCTCTACCATTAAGCTATCTCCATTTCCAGGCCTTTCTAATCTGTTTCTTGAGGTGCAGTTTCATTCTTTTTAAGTTTTCAAAATTTCTAGTACATGTAGTGAAGGCTATCCACTTCTCTCTAATCATTCATTGGCTTAGTTGCAGTCCCAGATTTTTGACATGGTTCATCTTTATTAATATTTGGTTTAAAATATTTTCTGTGTTTACTTCTTCTTTGAGCCATGGATTATTTAGAGGTGTGTTCTGTTTAATTTCTAGGGCTTTCAGACAAATCTGAGGATTCTAGTTATCTTTTGTTACTGATTTCCAACATATTTTCCTTGAGGTTAGAAAGTATATTTTGAATTATTTCAACTCTCTGAAATATTCCTTGGCTTTCTTTATGGCCTCTATTGCCAATTTTGGAAGTTTTTAACACAAGTCAAAGTGAAATAGAGTTCCTCCATTGCCTTGTGTTCAGGTCATTTGCTGTTCCTCAGACTCTGCTGCTCCTGTCTGTTCAGAGGTCTGCTGCAGCAACCCTGACCACCTCAGCTTTGCCCCGTTTTCTGATTAGCTGCTTTTTTGCCTTATACGTTTAGAAAGAATGTTATTTAGATTTACAAAATCTTGAATTGACTTTTTAGTTGTGAAATCTCTATCTCCAGTCATGTTTGCATGACATTAGTATAGTTACATCAGTGTTTTAGTAGCTGTAAGACACATTTCTTTCTATCCTTTTATTTTCTGGGCACCTTTATTTATTGTGTCTCTTGAACACACAAAGTATACAAGGATTTCCCCCTCTCTAGCCCACCATCTTATTACTGCTGTCCTATTTACTTTTCCTTTGATCTTGCCTTCTTTTAGGTTATCCAAGTAACCCCATCTAAATTACTCAGGTAGTTAATTTTCCCCTATTTTAATTTTTTAAAAGATACAACACAAGCTTTAAACTTAATACAAGCCATTCCTTTCAGTATCGTCTTGATGAGGATAGAATGCTTCAATATTTAAAGTCCATTCTTTTGGCCTTCTTCCATTATGGTTGTCATGTATTCTAATAATTATGGTTGTCATGTATTCTAATTCAGCATCGTTTATTTTACCAGTAATGTTTTTAACAGTTAATGTTCATTTACATCTTCTTTGGCGGTCTTTTTTGCTTTTCTGTATTTCTGCCTAGGATTATTTTTCTTTAATATATTCAAATGAGAATTTATAAGAAAGACACCTGAGTTCACCTACTACCTGCATAATATTAAGATAGTTAACCCTGTTGTCTGATTGTCTGAAAGACAGTTAAGATTCTTTCAATAGGCCACAATTAGGCCAGTTGTGGTGGTACATGCCTTTAATCCAAGCACCTGGGAGGCAGAGGCAGACAAATCTGTGAGATGGAGGCCAGCCTGGTCTACATAGGGAGACCGTGTCTCAAAAAAAAAAAAAAGACTTGTTTCAATAAAGGTTAAAAGTGGTAGTACCTAATTGGTTCAAATTTCATTTATTTTCTATTGTGTGTATGATGCTAAGTACAGGCATACATGCGCACATGAAGGTCAGCAGGCAACTTTGTGCATAAGTTCTTTCCTTCCACCTGGGTTCTGGGGATTGAACTCATGTCATCAGGCTTGCACCCCAACTGCCTTTATTCACTGAACCATCTCACCAGCCACCAAGTAGTTTTTAATTATTTTTACCTTGAGAAACTTCCTAGATACCATCCTGATCAAGTGACCAAAGATAGTAGTAGGACCAGAAAGGGTCAGATGGACATTATGCATTTTCTGCTGTGATATACAGAAATACAGAATAATTTCTCTGTATTTGTGACAAATTATATATTCTGACTTTAATGAGGAAACATCACATGAACCCAAACAGGGGATGCTGCACAAATTGGTCTGTAACCCTTTAAAGTGTTAAAGTCATAAGGTCACAGACTACAGGGTGTACCATGTGATCTGGGATTGGGATGTTGGAACAGACAAGAAGATTAATTGGGTCAACCAATAAAATCTGAATTTGATCTGTGGATGAGACATGGCTATTATGTGTTAAATACAAGAATTATAGGTTTCCAGTTCACATATAGTCTATGTAAAAATGACTTGATATGATTGAAAATTTTCTTCATAAAGACTTTGTACATCTTTTATTAGATTTTTTTAGGGTCTCCAATTTTTTGTTCTATTGTTGAAAACATGAAATTCTAAGAACTTTCATTTTTGTTGCTGATTCACAGGAATTCAACTGACTTCTGTATACTCATTGTAAATATAAGAATTTTGCTAAACTACGGATCTCAATGAAACATCTAATCATATCAATGCATAAAAATAATTTCCTATCTCTAGGAAAGGGAAAAAAAGCAGATAATTACATTGACTATAACTTAATATACAGCGGTTGCCATTGTGCTGGACAGCTTTGGTTGTCAACTTGACACACCTGGGTAGAAGAGTCCTCAAATGTCGAATTGCCTCCATTAGACTGGCCTGTGGCCATGTCTGTGGGGTATTTTCTTGATTTTTGAGTGACGTGGGAGGGTTCAGCTGACTATGGGTAGTACCACCCCTGGGCAGGTTGTTCTTATATAAGAAAGCAGGCTGAGCACAGGCCAGGGGAGCAAGCCAGTAAGCAGCATTCCTCTATGGCCTGTGCTCCAGCCTCTGTCTCCAGGTTCCTGACCTGAGTTCCCACCTTGGGCTCCCCTTCAGTGATAAACTGTGACCCAGGAGATGTGAGCCAAATCTTTCCTCCCCAAGTTGGTATTGGTCAGAACGTTTTGTCACAGTAATCGAAGGCAGAGTAGAACACCATTTAATGAAACATGTATATTTACATAAATACTGCAACATATTGATAGCTGGGAATGGTACCATCTTTAAGATCATCAAAGGAAGTGAGGTACAATTCAACTTGCTTGTGAGGTCACTAGCAAGTCCTCACAGGGATCATATTGTCTTCATCTCAAAAGAAATCTTTTGACCATGGTGCATTAAAAGTAATTTAAAAGAATCACAAGTTCTATTAAGCCTACTTAGGGGCGTATGATCAATCTTTCATAACCACTTGTCAACAATTTCCAAGAAGCTTTCTAGTCGTCTGGCAGCTACAAAAAGGCCTTCCAATTACTGCCATTTCTCCTTGCTTACATCTCTTTCCAGCCACCATAAATCAACTTCCCAGAGAATGATTACTATTATTGGGTAGCACGGCACAGGGATACTGTGGGAACCCTAGAAATTGCAACCCTTTCTTGGGAGATGCTTCCTTAATTTTCCCCAGGAAAACAGAAAGCATCTATAGGCTGATGGCTCCAAGCTGGAAAAGGCGCCAGGAAGCCCTAAAAGCAGTAAGACCCCAAAGTGCAATGGTCACTTTAGGTTGAAGTGAGGGGAGACAGAATGGCAGCTTTATTGCATGGCATGTTCATTGACTGCTCTCCACAAACTACAGCTGACAGAGTTTAGAAAGTACATTTTCTAAGTCTTGGTGTGGGATGATGAAAAAGTTCTGGAGATGGACAGCTGGACAGACTTGCATAGCAATGTGAATATATACTTACTGTCCCCGAACCATACACTTAAAAATGGTTCAAATGAAAATCTTTTTGTCTTTTACAATAAGAATTTTTTTTAATTGTCAAATACTCTCTGATAGTATTTAGTAAACACTAAGAGCACTAACCATCAAAATCTTATAACCTGGTGTTTGAGGTTAAATTGTGCTTGCTACACCTGTGGAACTTAGGAGCACACCACTTAAGCTTCTCTCTCCTCATCTGTGGCACAGGAACAACAATAGGCTGCTATAAAAATTTATGCAGAAACTTTGTGAAGTTCATAGCATACAGAAGGGGCTCAATAACTGCTTAGGCTTTCATAGCAATGTGACTGTTACACTGCATGCAATGAGGAGTGAAAACAAAGCACCATGGAAAGGCTGGTTATGCATCCCCCGGGTCTTAATGTCACAGAGCATCACAACTTGTCATATGACACTCCGTGTTGTAGTTAAGGGATGCATGAACCCAAGGCTGACCCCTAAGTCAATGGTTAATTATACTGAAGTATCACAATTCAAGAGACAACAGTGTCAGAGAAGCCAGGAGAACTTGAAATAATTTAACAAGTGAATATATACATATATATTTATCAAATATAACAAGGTCATACAAAAGCATAATAAAATTCACACATACAAAAAAGGCTACTGTATTTGTTTCCCTTTTATATCCTGTTTTAAGACAGAACAACGATACACAGAAAACAAAAGGAATGCACTAGTTCTGAAAACTAGGTTTTTTTATGAATGAAACATCTCATCATTTACACTTTCTCTCAACTTTCCAAACACCAGGCTTATTGAACTGTACTCTAGGGCTCAACTTAAATAAATCTTTGCTCCATTTGAATGAACTATACATTTTCAATGGTCCAGGTAGAAAAAAAGTATATAAAATGATTCATAAATCAAAACATTTCATACAAAAGGAACAGTTTCAACAAAACCCGACACTATAAAGGGGAAATGTACTGAATTTTAAAACTTCTGAAACAAGCATCTTTTTGGACCACTATATAAAATACTACCAAGTTCCGAATTGTTGAAAAAAGTTTACATAGACAAAGCTAAGGGATTAAAAAAAAAAATCAAATGTATTAAAAACATCTAAAGCCAAGTAAGAGGTAACTGAACTACACAATTCAGGTTTAAGTGCATTTCTTTTTACAGTTTAACTACCATATATAAAAACTGGCAATTAAAAGGCAATTAAATATAGACTTGCAAATCCTTTGGCCATTAAGTAAATATTAAAAAGTGAATTGCCAATTGAAAAATAAAGGCTTACATCCAACAAGAGAGGCACAAACAGTCAAAGACGCCCTATAAAATCATGTGGAGAAGATCAGAGACCATAAAGGTCTTTCAGGCACTTATATTCAGAAATATTTTATAAATAAGCACTTGGTTTCACTCTACAAAATAAAGCTGTTTTCCCCAACTGCACCTACTAGATGGGGATTGTGTCTTATATTAGGGATGCATTTAAATGGATCATCTTATGGGGAAAATCAACCTTAAAAATTGTGAATCCACCTATTTTATTTACAACTTCAAAGACAGAATTCGAAGGTAACTCCAGTGAAGCCCAAGTGCAGCCCTATCCAAACACTCTACTGTCCCAAATGATCAATAAGCAACACAATGACGAACAGTAAAACTCAAGCTTTGGCAATCCTACACAAAAGGGCCCTGTCAAAACATTCTCACAAAATAACACCACAAAACAACAAAAAACCCCGAGAAAACCTGAATTCTGACAACCCTACACAAATTGTGGGATTTCATCCTCAAGGTCTTCAAACTGCTGCATTCGTTTTAGCCGCGGTCTCTGGCACGCTGGAGTCCCATCAGGCAAGCCAGGCTCCTCAGCGCTGTCTTTGGGCTGACCAGTCAGCTGTGCAGGACAAGCTGATGTGACCTCTGAGTCTGGATCTAGTTTTGCCACCTGATCCTGGGGAATGTGAACTGGGACAAGAGGCACTGCTGCTGGGGATGGTGCTGATCTCTCCTCAGTCTCTCTGACACTGCAGGTGGGAGGAGGCGGTTTATAAAATGTTGTCCAGTGCTGGGGCTGCAGTGTTCTGGGTGCTCTGACAGTAGTGGGAGGGCAGGAATCAGAGGACCGCCGCTCTGCTGCATCTCTGGCTGGCCTGACTGGCTCTGTGCAGGGCTTACTGAACTGGGTGGCAGCACTGGGATGGTCCCCACTGTTCCTGATGTTCGCTGTTAGTCCCTTCTCGGGGAGTACACTGGGCACAATCACTGTAGTCTTGGCAATTAAGCTGTTCCGTTCATACTGTTTGTCCCAGGATTTCTGTACATTTTGGTGGTCATAGCCATTAAATTTGGAACAAGTAGCAGTTGAGATGTCTTTTCTATTAAGTCCTTCAAAGGCAGGATTCTTGCTCACCTTGTCAGAATTTACAAGTCCCATACTCCTGCCACTTCTCTCAGTAGGAGAGCTTGCCAGAAGCAGCAGCCTATCCACAGGCAGGCTGACAGGCCTCATCTTGGTCCTCGCAGCATGCCTCTGCACACTGTTTGCTGCTCTAACAGCTTTCTGAGTAAATAGCTTAGGGCTATTACAAACACCTTCCATCTTTTGGGATGTTGATTCAAGTTCTTGGTCAAGAAGCAAATGTATTTTGTTTTCTGAAAAAGAAAGATTTAATTAACTTAGTGGTACATGGCTAACGAGAGTCCAAATTAGTAAGACAGACATTTTGATAACAAAAGGAGTTTTACATTTTTTTCCCAGAATGGTATTCTCAGTTATCTATGCAGAGGACTTAATAGTAAAGGCACATTTTTGAATTTAAAAGTTCATTTAAAGTTTGTATGCATCATTATAAAAAACAACCACAAAGCATATTATAGATTAGTTAAAAACAGAACAAAACATACAAAAAACCCACTTGCCTAATTTGTTTTAATGTGCTCCTCAAGAACAAGTATTTTCTAGTCAAAGGATTCACTGGGCAGACTTTGGTGAATTAACCTTAGAAAAGTCACACCACTTCAGGCCTACCAAATGTAGGTGTGCTCTGAATCCCAAGACCTCTGCCAGCTCGGTTGGTCTGTTTTCAGCATTTTAGAAACCTTGGATTCTCTCCTTAGCTGATCAGCTAATCAACTACAACATCCATTAGGCCAACTTAAGGTTGAAGACTTGTGTTTAGTAAAAAGCTGCCATTCTCCCCATGCAGTAGCTGCTCCCAGATTTACTATCTTTCTTCTTTCTCTACCAGTCTGGCCACAAGGCTTTGCCTTCTTACCTAGAATTCTAAGCTCCCCATACATACCCTGTCCTGTTTGCTATACCTAACCCCAAGAAACTCTAGTTTCTGCAAAGGGCCTACCCTCTGTCCCAGTTCCTCCTCTCGCTGTTTATAAACATCAAACCTTGATTCTGCACCTTCATTTTGTTCTGACTTTGAACAGCTGGCCCACGCACCCTTGCAGGTCTCTTCCCTGTGACCTGGGTGTGACTCTTGCCTGATGCCTATGGGCAGTTAAACACTACCTAAAATTATATTACAAAACATGTTATCTGGGGGCTGGAGAGATGGCTTGGGTTCAACTCCCAGCACCCACACAGCAGCTCACAATCACTTCTAACTTCAGTTCCAAGGGACCCGACACCCTCTTCAGGCCTCTGCAGGCGCTGAATACATGTGTAGCGCACACACGCACGCGTGCACACACACATACACACACACACACATACACACGCAAAACACTATACATATAAAATAGAAAACAAAACATGTTATCATTTAGCACACAGTTCAACCTTGTCTGCCTTGGCTTTAACTGATGACAAACAAAATGAAGACAAAATTTTCAGAAGGAGCATGTCCACACAAAAACCGCCAAAGAGTTCTAAGATGACATTTTATAAGAAAGGCATTCTGAAAACTGATATTCACTGAAATGCAAGGTACATTTGCAGGGCTAGGGAGACTGCTCAGTGGTTAAAGCCCTTGCGGGATAAACATGGGGACCAGAATTTGAATCCCCAGAACCCATGTAGGTGGTGGGTGCAGACAGCAGCCCACTTGTGATTCCAGCCTCAGAAGGTAGAGGCAGGGGATCCCCAGAGCAAGCTGCCTAGCAAGACTAGCAATACTGGTGAGCTCTGGTTTGAGCAAGAGCCCCGTCGCAGTGACTAAGGTGGAAGAGTGACAAAGAATATTCTCAACATCAATGTTGGCTCTCTACATGCACATGCACCCCCCCCAGGCAAAACATGCATACATATGCACATCACAGACACATAGAAATGGAAAAAAATAAATGCAAAGTACACTAAAAGGTAGCTTTCTCAATGGCTGACACAGGTTTGTTAACTAATAAAACTGAAGTCTGGACTTCCCTCAACTTCATTCATCTTGGCTCTCGCTTGTTTTTGAGGGCTGGGGATTGAACCTAGTCCCTTCACACTGGCTTCTAATCATGGTTTACTTATATAGTTTTAATTCAGTACATGGATTTTTTTTTTTTTACATGGCTACGCACCAATAAGAGCAGCATCACATTTTTCCAATGCATTTTGCTTGCATTCTGACTCCTCAAATGATGTGGTTGATTCAAAAATTTTGCTTTCACAATCTGCAGTATGGATATCCTGTTAATGGAAGAGAATTTTTACACTTGAAGAAGCAAAACACACTTCAAAAGGAAAACTTTAAAAGAATGTTAATTTATTGACATAAATACCATACAGCTCTAACGCAATTCAGTAACAGTCAAAACTTTAGCTCAACAGGTAAAAGTGCTGGCTATGCCAGCCTGACAACCTGAGTTCGATCCCCAGAACCCATGCAAAAAGCCAGATGCAGTGGTATGCATCTGTAATGTACTCCTGCAGTGTGCTAACAGGCAGAGACAGGGGAATTCCCCATAGTCTTGCTGGCCAGCTAGCCTGGACTGTACAGCACAGCAGCAGATAACAAGACAGACCCTGTCTCAATAAAGTGGAAGGTGAGAACTGACTCCCAAAAGTTGTCCTCTGACCTCCACACATGTGCCACAGTGTATGCATATGGGTTTGCACATGAGCGTGCACACACACACACACACACACACACACAAATTTATAAAATAATAAACTCACTTCCTTTGAAGAGAAAAATAGTGGCTTCATAGAACGATCTGAGTCTTTTTCATCCGGTGATAACAGAGGCTTTGGAAGACACCCCTGATCAACCTGAGATGCAACAGCACCTGTACTAGAGGCAACATCTTGAGGCTGTAAGGACCCATCGAAGATCTTCTGTGAGTAAGTAATGAGGAACTCTACCAATCGTGCCTGATTTGAATATTCAGCAAGGGATGAGATGGTGACAGGAGCAGTTGTGGGTCTTGGCCGAATGAGACTTGGTCCAAATATTACACCCAAGTTTTTAGAGTTCATCTTGTTTTCTTCTGCATGATCTACCACCCTGCAAAGGAGAACATGCAAAGCTGTATGAAATTTGCCTATTAGAGTCCTTTTTGTGCCGAGTTTAGTACAGGATGGGAAGAGCGAAAGGAAAACAGGCTACAAAAATCTAGAGAAGTTTTTTTGTAGAAAAATTTGTCAAAGGGTCAAGTTAAAAGAATGATTGAAAGAAAAAGACCTATTTACTTGATTTAAATACTTACCACATGCCAAACTGGGGTTTACATTTTTTATTATATTAGAATAGAGATTCAAATAGAGGAACTACTGACGTTTGCCAGCAGAAAGAAAAAGTACCCTTAAAAATGACTTCCATCTCAGGATGGATGGTATGTGCCTCCAGGTCTTTATATTGGAAATCAAAATATCACTGTCAATTTCTTATTGCCAAAGCCCCTTCTCAAGCCTGACCCTCTCTCTGAAAGATATGTGCATTACACTGTCACTCCCACATCCAGTTTTATTTTAAGCTCTCATCCATCACCTTTTGCTTTTGTGACTATTCAAGATTTGAACTGCAGTAAGGCCTCCCTTCCAGCCCATTCTTCCTATTTCTGCCAGGAAGACTTAACTGGCAAATTTGAGCATGTTAAATTCCTGGCTCAAAATTCTTTAGTGGGTACAGAAGGAAGATAGCAAACTCAACTGGTAGGTCGGCAAGACTTTTCTGCTACTGTTTTCTATACTACAGCCTAACTAAATTACTTTTATTTCCTAAACATAAATTGCTCTCTTCTATTGTGCTTGTTAATCCTGTCTAGAATGCTCCATGCACTACTGAGTTCTTTAATCCTGGCTCAGTGGCTGCTTTCTCTGACTTATCCCCATACCCTAATCTTCCTCTGCATGTTGAGTATACCTATTGAACAAAATGATACCGTACTGTGCTTGTGAGCCCAAAGATAACAGAAACCCTGTTTCCATCTTTATTTCCCCAGCCAGAGCCTAGCACTCAGGAGGCATCTGAGGGAACAGTGTTGGCTGCCTGAATATACACTCAGTATTCTCATTCCCCTAATACATAATAAAAACAGAATTAATTTTTAAAATATAACAACACCACGAATGTACTCAAACATCATTGAACTTTACACTTAAAAATGGCTAAGGTGCCAAGTATTACTTAATGAAAAAGTCTCCACCTACTAGTAGAGGCTCTATTTATATAAAATTCTTACCGCTTAAGATGTACTATGAGGTAATGAAGACTGTTAAAATTTGATGCTGGCAACTGTCTTAGGAGGTCCTTGCTCTTTAGAAGGATTCGGTTTATTTCTATACACACATTTGGACATTTCTTGTCTTCGGGGCTATCCTTTTTCGCCTCTTGCTCTTCGTTTACATGCTGTATCTCTTTTGCAAGGTCTATAAATTCCTTGTATAATCGGAATAAAATAAATGGCTCTGGGAGCTAAAGAAATAAAATTACATTAGGAATACCATTCTGTCCTTTTTTCCCCCTGTTAATAGTTAACTAATATTCACAGCTACTCAATGATTTATCACGACCCTGTAGGTTAACAAGATTTAAAGTGAGCCCTTAAGTGTACATGTCTGCTACAGATATGACCTATAAAGTTAATCTGAAATCACTGTCATAAATTATATAATTAAAAGACATTATCTGATGGTCAATAAAACTCTAAACCTAAGCTACACGGTGGGTTCTAAAATGCTGATACAGATCCTATGCATATTGTATTTGTGACCGTGCCAAAGTCAGCACTGTTTCACTCAAACAAATTTACGATAATATATAGAACGAGTCATGTGAATTAGAAAAAAGATGATAATGTGGATTTTATTCAGATAGAGGAAACAAAAAGAACAAAATATTATATGGTTATGTTTTAGTTGTCAGACTGAAAGACAAATTGACCTAGAAAAGGTACACTGTCAATATTTATACTATTTTAAAATAGTCGGACTCGTCATGAGTATATAAAAACAAAAAGTTGCCATCTTGAGCAAATGAGTATCCCCATGAGTTCCAATGTTTTCACTGCTCTGCAAAGGAAAATGCAGTATACTTCTGGCTACCTGACATCATATCATTTGTGGAAAGGCAGATGCTACCTTCAGATCCATTTCTATCACCACTCTTGGAGCTGAAGGAAGTCACATGATAGCTTGGAGCTTTAGGTTCCCCACATGGTAAAGAAGTAGAACAAAGGCAAGTCTCTAATGCTAGTCTGAAAACTGATCATGGCTCCACTCCCATATGAAAGTCTTGATCTTACAATATTTTTGAAATGGAATGACAGTTCGTAGCATTGTATCTCATTCATCTCCCTTCTCTGACTAGCCAGAAGAAACAAAGATGACACATTGTGAAACAGAGTCAGAGTCACTTAAAGGTATTTAACTCAATCTCCATGCTTCAAATGAGGGTTCTGCAAAATATGACTAAAGAGGTATCAGTACTTCCCTGGGGTAACATGGCAGATCAAAGAGTTATACTTGAATTTCTTTCCCTCCTGCCACCCCACTAAAATGTAGTAGGCCTATGTGGACTGGGGAAATCGGAGACTACACAAAAGCAGTATCTCTCAAGCTGAGGAGCAGATGAGGAAGTACTGAACTGGCAGTTCCAAGAAGGCTGAAATCTCTAAACTGTGAATCAATATGATTTGCAGAATCCTAGTCTTGGACTACATGGGCACTGAATTCTCTGATCTTAAGGGAGGTCTAGCTATTTGAGAAGGCTTAGTTTTCTAGACTCCGAACTTCATGTTTCTAAGCAACTTTCCTCAAGAAATATGGAGGTTTATTCTCTGGAGCGTACAACAGAGTCTCTGGATGGGCAGTGCAAAGTCCAAGGAATGGAAGAGCAACTGAAAAAGGCCATATGCATGCTGAAGCAGAGCTCCTTTTTACATGCTTGTCTCCCAGATTACTGGCCCCACATCTCCAGGTAAGAAGACCCTTTCTCTAGAGATCAGCCAGCCCAAGAGTAGAGACCTACAGACACACATGCAAGGTACTCCCCAGTCTGCCTAGAGTACTCCATAACACAGACCCAAGTTTTCAAAAGTGTCACACTGTTGAGAACTTCCATAGAGACTTCAGTTCTTAACTTTCATGTTAAGTAGAAAACCATGGAAGGTCATGTTATCAACTTGGTGGCTACTAGACACATATAGTGAGAGAACACTGAAAACATAGCTGGTCCAAATTGAAATGTACTCTAAATGAAAAATATCAGATTTCAAAGACTAACGGCGGGTGGGAAGGAGGGAGGGAGGATACAAAAAACCCCCTTCATTAATTATGAAAACATTACTGTTAAGATGTTCACATGAAACCAGAGAGCAACCAAGTATCCAAAATCAGAGTTTTACCAACAAAGCACAGAGAAAACAGAGGGGAGGAAACTACAACCTTCTACAACTATGTACACTATTCCATTTCCATCAAGGGTGTAGAATAAAGACATTTACAAATGAATAAGGTCCAGTGTGTTCAAGGAGGAACATGGCCCAAACAGGAGAAAAAGCCAAATACAAGGAATATGCAGGAGGCATTTCTTCAAAAAACATAAGAGATTCCAAGATAACAGCTACACAAATGGTTGAAAAGATCCAGAGCGGCACAACTGAGCTCCAGAGGCTGCCATGTCGGCAGCTGCTAGCACTGTCACCATTATTTTTGCCACTATCTTTTCATTTTCACCTAAGGATACAACGCCAACTGAGCTTGGTCCAAATTATTTTGTACCTGGCTCACAACAATGTGCTCCTGTAGCCTCTCCATGATCTTTTGCCTGAACCCATTTATTTCACCCTGTGGATATGTTTTCTTTGTACCTGCTCCTGCAAACTACAGATACAATACTGAGCACAGAAAAAGATGACACGGTGGGGCCTACTTCCTGACCACATTCTGTTAGCCTTCTTAGACCCAGCTTATAGGAAGCTCTGCTTGCTGCCCCAAATATGATGTACTTAGAAGGATTTTTCCCACTGATGTCTTACAAAGCTATTTTGAAATATCAATGAAGACAAAGCAGACGGTGATCCAAACTCTGTTCTGCTTACTGAATCTTCATACAACAGCTCAGCACTGTCCTGTCCTTATGAAGCTAGAGCTGTGCTTTCAAGTTCTAAAACTTAACAATACAAATGTTTTATGTTACTTCTTTATGTTTAGGAAAGTGTTGCTTATTCCTTTGGCATAGTTAGGAAAGAACTCCCAGATGAAGTTATACGGTCTTATATAAGGGTTAGGAATAGTCTATTTTCTTATACTGATTGATAAGAAGTTTGTTTTTATTATTATTGTTCTTTAAATTATATGTGTCTTAGTCATTCTTCAATCTATACATTAACATTTAGAAGACATCAGTGGGGAAAATTCTTCTAAGTACATCATATTTGGGGCAGCAAGCAGAGCTTCCTCTGCCAATGTAAATAACTGTGTACTAAATGTTATGAATTAAAAAATGAAGTATAAATCATATTTTTACTGTTTTAATTTAAAGGTACATTTCAAAATAAAAACTTTACCTGTCGCAGATATAATTTCAAGACATCACAAATATCATGTGAACTGAATTCTGAAATGTCTACTAAGTGCATTCCATTTTCCAAAGCTTGACACAGTTTTTCAGTCTTTATTTTGTTTCCACAAACACGATAAATTCCCTTAAATAGAAAAACAGAAGAATTTTGCAAAATTCTGCTTTAGTTCAAATGACTATTGTAGACACCTAAGCATGTTTATATGTCTACTTTAATTTTTATTAGTAGTTCAGAAAAATAAAAATCATAGCTGGGGCCTAATAACATTTTCAAAATAATTCTGAATAAAATCAGGTATTACAAACTGATAGCACTTGTTTCCTTTTCGTCTCCTTTGACACAGGCCTTTCAATTTTTTTTTTTTAAATTTCAAGAGTTATAATGTACCTGTAGACACAAGGCTCTATTTTCAATTTCTGAGGCACATATTTTGAGTACAAAAGGGATGCCATCTGGTTCCTTTTTTGCAACTTGTATGAAGTCTGCTCCAAATACATGCATTTTCCCTAGAAGTTTCTGATGACCACAAATGATGACTAAATTCTCCAAACATTTCCGATGACAAACAAGGAGACACTATAAGAAAATGGCAGTTTAAAATTCATTAGTTCATCTTGAAACTATTCACATTTGGGCAAACTAAGTGTAGATGGATAACATAATAAAAAAATGAATTAAAATGTACTATTTGTGGGCTGGAGAGATGATGGCTCAGCGGTTAAGAACACTGACTGTTCTTGCAGAAGACCCGGGTTCGAATCCCAGCACCCACATGGCAGCTAACAACTGTCCATAACTCCAGTCCCAGGGGATCCAACAGCCTCTTCTGTCTTCTGCAGGCATTGCACGA